GTCATCAAAACAAGCATACAGTATATAAATAAAGAAACTATTTTTCACACACCCCTCTCAATGGCTTTCTGCTAGAACAATATGCTAATACTCATAAAAATAGCAAAACTCAACGAAACTAGTAAATACTACAGTCATTCAAACAAGCATACATAATGTTGGGAAAAAAAGACTTTTTTGTTATAAAGTATGAAAGAAAGAAAAAATCAGCTAATCAAGAACCTATTTTTCACACACCCCTTAATGGCTTTCTGCTAGAACAATATGCTAAAACTCATAAAAACGGCAAAAACTCAATGAAACTAGTATATACTGTTAGTTCTTTAACAGGAGGTCTGACAAAACCTTATTTTTCCATTCAGCTATTCCAATGGAGCATGAAAACATTTTTGCAAGAACATGTGAACCGAAGGATAAAACAGCAAGATCACTCATGAGCCGCATTCATTCTCCGCTCTCTTTATTCTTTATCCAATTTCTCACCACTCCTCATAAGTAACAACGTAACATCACATGACACAAGAAAAGGTATTATGTTATGACACAAATAACAAAGGCATAATAAAAGTCCAAACAAAATTTCAATTCTTGGACAAATTAACAAATGATCAACTGATCAGAACTAGACTCCTAAGGACCAGCAGAATTAAAACTAGCTCGGTTAAAAGCCTTATCAGAGAGAGCAGTGGCATAAAAGCAACAGAAGGAGAAGAAGAAGAAGGAGGAGGAAGAGAAGAAGAGTACGTACTGACCTCGATTATTACTCCCAGTAGATAGACGATTGATTAGTTGCACAGCAGCTTGTTGTGCAGAGGAAGCATCTACAGGTGAACGAGCATTGAAAGCTAGCATGCTGGGATCAACCTTTAAGTCTGGATTTAGACGCTTAAGTTGTGAAATGATGTTAACTGCAACTTGTAGTTCCATGGCATCTTTTTGTGCATTGAACTTTTCCTGCATTCTTTGTTTCATCCTTTCTTCCATTTCCACCATTTTTTGTTGCAGCATCTCATCGGTAGAACTTGAAGAGGTTCCAATATCTCCCACTTTTCTTTTTAAGGAAGTCTTGGTGACCCCACGTCCGTACAATCTTAGGCGTCCTGGATGCTCAGGTCCCATGACGGACACAAACTCGTCAAGTGATTGACTGTCATCTTCAGTTTCTTGTGTTGATTATATTCTATCCATTTCAGCCTACAAGACCAAATTGAGTCAATTTTAGATTTGAAAGTATATAAAATTGAGTCAATAACAAATAAATCAACAAATTTTAAATTAGTAAATCGTACAATTTTATTAAGAGTATCCGCATACGAGGCCTTGTATACTCGACCGGGCTTTCTTTTTCTTGTAGCCACAAATATGTCCTTACTTAATAGAGGTTCAGAAGTTTCTTTTTTTTTACTGGTCACATAAAAAGTGGTATAAAAAAGTTCAGATTATGCCTAGCAAGTGCATATTTAAAAGAATAATAAGCAAAAAATTATCAAACCTCGCATATTCTAGCAAAAAATTTTTTGCCAGCAGTGTGTGGTTATCTCAACTTTTTGCGATTCGCAGTGTTGGTTTCTTTCATTTTCTGCAACAAAAAAGAAACATTGACAGTGAATACATCTGCTACACAGAACAAAGCCTCTCTTCTGAAAATTATAACAGCTTTTGACTGAGAACATTCTGTCATTACTAGCATTCCACAATAATGAATCCTTCTTACTATGATCAATGTGGATAGAACACCAACAATAACTAAACATTTGCAAAAGACCACTACATCAGGACTACAGAGACCATCTTTCTGCCAATACAAGAATAACAGTTCTTAGTATGATTAAAAACCACTAAGTAATTAAATAAGTAGGAGTACCTCTTACTATAACAAAGTCAATTTATCTTTTACTTATCCAAAAAAAAAAAATCAAGAAGCCAAGCATGACGAAAATGATAAGAAACACTATGTTCAGTTCCAAAAGGGCTTATAAGACAAATATTTTATCTAGATCTCCAATTTTTTTGCCCCAGCTCAGCTCCCCTCTTAAACGTCTAGAATCAAATTTGGACTTTGCTATATATGTCTT